AACAAGTTGATAAGCTTACCTTAATTCTTGATGCAATTAGAGGAAATTAGAGGAAGCAATCTCTCACTATCACTATATGCAAAGGAGAACAAGCAAAGCTTGAACATATGAAGTTTTCAATATCTCAAAGTTGTGTTCTTACATGGAATACAAGATATTTATACTAAAACAAGAAACTAGGATTTAATGAAGCATAAAACACATAAAACACGCTAACTGTAGCACTGTAGCGCGTCTGAGTTCCTGTAGTACGTTACTGTAGAAAAGTCAAATTTACTGTAGCAAGTCAAACTAATTGGCGCGGCACTGTAGCGCTTCTGAGTTCCTGTAGCGCGTTACTGTAGCACTGTAGCGCTTCTGAGTTCCTGTAGCACGTTACTGTAGCAGCGTGCTTTCCTCCACTTAAAGAGCCACCAACAACATTAGAAGCGAATGCAACATCATTCTTGTGTTATTTGGCTTGAAAAATAATGATCATGGCTGCCAATATCGCTTGGCAGACTCCTTGTATCGGTCAGATAGGAAGCACCAATGGATCTCCTTCGTCGTTCACATGCCTCCTTGTGATCCCGCGACGAGTTGATGATGGATCCGTTAGTTTTCCTCGCGACGAGCAGAGGGCTTGCACAGCCTTGGGGCGTGCACCTTGCAGGGCGTCGCTAACCTAGCAGGCGGTCCTAGGCATGCCATATGGTTTGGAAATGTTGGAAATTCAGGTTCCAACTCAACATATGCTTCCATTAATGTGAGAAACTTAGGTGTTCCTTCAAGTTCTTCATAGCACTTGTTGAAGGCAAGGTCATGGAGTTCTTGTGTAACTTGTTCTTGAATGTATAAGGACATGGTTGCTCTATATTTCTTTGCACGGCTCCTTGTAATTGGTCCCATAGGAAGTTCTAATGGATTGCCATTGTTGTGGTCCTTGTTCCCTTGAGCTCCATAGGTGGTTGGTGATAGTGGATCTGTATCACAAGATACACACAATGTACTGCTTACTTGGTTGAATAATTATTATAAAAACTTTGGGAAAATTATAAAATTAGTGTCTGAATTTGGTAAATTTTTCTATTTTGGTGTTTGACCGAAAAACTTTTGTAATCAAGTGTCTCAACCATTTAAAATTTTACAATAAGTGTACCTTGCTTATGTGGCCACTGAAGCAGCCACGTAACTCATCTGGGCTGACATTTTGCATGGAGTCCTGCTGACTAGGATGAAGCTGGGTTAACCATGGGAATGTCACATGCAAAACACATGACTAGAGGTCTGAAATTACTTAAATAGTCTTGTTTTTTCTCTTTTTAAAATAAATTAAAGAAAAAACAAGAAAATTATATGATAACCGAGAGTTCGTATAGCTGCATAGGAACAACTACACTAAATTTGAACATTGAATAGATCAATTGCTTTCTAGCCCATGTGGGTCTCGAATATGTATGGCACAACCCAAGAAGGGGTTGAATTGGGTTTTCTAAAAATAAAAAATTTTAACTTAAAAACAAAAATCAGAATTCTGTTGCAGCAGAAAAGTAATGCACTTGTGAGAATAAGTTATTGATTAGAACTTCCTCACAATGCCCTAATGCAGAAAATAGAAAGACTTTGCAGAGTACAGTTATTGATTAGAACTGCTTCACAATTTCTTATGCAATATCAAAACTACTTTAAACTACTTTATGAAAAGAAAGCTATTATGTTTTTAGAACTTCCTCATAAAGTTTAGATAAATATAAAAGACTATGTAAGAGACAGTTATTAAAATCTGAACTGCTTCACAAAGCTTCAATCAAGATTAGGAAACTGATTAGAAACCCAAGTAGTGAAATATACTGAAAATAGAAGAACAATTTAGAACTTAATATATTCACTGAGCAGAAGTGTAGAGTTCTAATGTTCAGAAATAGATAAAGCTTATTTCAGTTTAGAACATCAAAACCTTTAACAACTTTAGCTTTTCTAAAATATAGATAGAAGTGTAAATAAAATAGTATCAAGCAGAACCTCAGAAAATAAAAAGATCAAGACAGTGATTTATTGTAGTTCGCACTAACTCGCCTACATCCATTCCCCAAGACTCATCTTGAGATCCTCAACTATGTTATCTCTTTTCAAGGGTAAGAGACAAACCAACAGCTAACAGTACAAGGCAATAGATCAACTCCTATATCTACCCTTTGTCCCACTAGATTTTTCAAAGGTTCTAGTTAAACTCAACCCTTTCTGTTCTTGGCAGAGAACAAAAACTCAATTAAAGACATTAGAATCTCTCTCATGGAGAAGGTTGCTTGATTACCTATTTTACAATAGTTTTTTACCTAAGCTATTACACAAAAGTTTATCAAATAAAAAACTTGTCTACTAAAGATTACAGAATCTAAATAGACAGATAGAAATGCAAATACAAATACAGGATAAACAGTTTATAAGATTAAAAAATCATTTTAGAAATCAGAACTTTTTTTCAAAAGAAGTTGTTATGAAATTTCTTTTCTCTTTTAAAGATAAAACGTAAAAAGACGAAAAGAAATGAGGGGGTTATAAGAAAAAGATTTGAGAGATAAAAATGTTGATGCAATGAACTCTTAAGCTTAAAAATCCAATTACCCGCGTCTTCACAAGAGGAAGGCGTGTTTTATATAGGGATAATGATCCTGTTTTTGAAAGTATAATCTTTCGCTTTTAAAGAAGATTTTTTACTTTCCAAAACTAAAAGATACACGGAGATCTTTATTTATTTTGTTGCCAAATATATTTGAAGTCAAAATCTTTTCTTTTAAGGTAAGTAAATAAAAATGAAAAAAAATCTAACTTTCCTTTAAAAACAAGATTAAAGAAAATCTTTTTCAAAAATAAAGAAAATCTTTTTCGAAATAAATATTTACCAAAAACGATTTGAGATAGTATCTCTTTTTGTTTAGGTAACAAGACAAAATCAAGATTTTGGATCTCTTTAAAAATTTTGTCTCTGAAAATGAAGAGCATAAAAATCTTCTTCGATTTATTCTTATTACCAAAATCGTTTGAGACAAAGTCTCTTTAATTTAGGTAAGTGAATAAATTTCAAACCTTTATGAGGATAATTTTTGAAAAATTTTTGAACAACTTAAAACAAAGCTTTTTTCTAAGATATTATTACTAAAAAACGATTGGAGACCAAGATCTCTTTCCATTTTAAGGTAAGATATCAAGAAAGAAAAGTTTTTATTTTTAAAGAGTTATTTTCGAAAAATTCTTTTGATAAGAGAGAAGAAAATAATTTTGTGCTTATAATGATGTTCTTCTCTATACTATAAATGAATCCTAAAATCTACACCAACTAAGGTCTTTCAATGTCCTTTATGATCCCTTGAAATTGGGTAGGACTTCGCCCTTTGTTTTTTATTTACTTTCCTTAAAATCCTGCATAAAAATATTATAGCACAACAATAATATAATTTAAATTTATTTATTTATTTTTAATCATCAAAATCTCGAAATAAAATATTTGGCCCATGAGCCAACAACCCACTTAGATGAAATGATGATAAATGGTGTTCCAACCTCTTATATAATCTGCATAAAAATATTATTAGCACAAATAATATAATTTAAATTTATTTATTTTATTTTAATCATCAAAATCTCGAAATAAATATTTGGCCCATGAGCCAACAACCCACTTAGATGATGAGATAATGGTGTTACCCAACCTCAATTCAAATGCTCGGCTACAAACTGAATTTAAATCACAGAGAGATAGGGAGAGGATAAAGTGTGTTTTTATGTTGAAAAAAGAAAAAGGAAGAAAGAGAGGATAACTCACTCTTTCGATTCTTTGATTATCAACTCCAGTTGGGTTTAAACAGAAGCTTAAGTCAGATTTAGTAATCCTTGTGCTCTTCTAAGGGGGTTTTGACGAGATTTAAATGCTCAAACATAAAAAGGAGGGGTACTTTTATATTGAACTATAGAGTGTAATATTAAGGAGAGATTAGAGAGGGGAGACCATTTTACTTCCTAGGTTTGCTGCAAACTAGAGTTTTCATCAGGGTTCTGCTCTCTCATGATTTCGTCGCCTCACTCTTTCAATAGGGGAGTATTAAACCCTAGATTGAAGATGGGAGCGTGTTGTCAAATTCAGGTAATATTGTCATTTTATTTTTTTATTCAGCATGACACGTCATTTGCAGTCAACTAACTAAATTTTGTCCATCTCAGTTTACTTTACAGCGTGTTACTGTTTTTCCGTCCTATTTGGACTTCAGGCTAGCCATGTAAGCAATAAACACTTGATTGTAAAATTTTAAAATTTTAAAGGCTTAAGATACTTGATTTCAAAAGTTTTCGGTTCAAACACTAAAATAGAAATTTTGGTAAAATTGAGACATAAATTTATAATTAACCCGAAAAGAAAAGAAATACAAGGTGATTTGAACGTAAGAGATAAACGGATTTATTTATGTATATTACAATAATAGCTTTCCCTATTTATAAGCATCCTAAGAGTTCCCTCTATATAATGTGCACCTTCTAGAAAATAAATAGAAAAATAAAAAAATATCATATACGTATTCAATATCTAGGTCTCATGGGTTCCGGATCTAAATGGCCCTCTTGTCACTATCTATGCTGTATATTCACACGTAAGCTCTTGCGAATTGGGGACTCAGTTTTGGGGCTGATTTTTCGACCAGCATCAACAAACTGGTATGCACTGCCGAATCAATTGAGCCCTAATATTATGCAAGTTGATTTTATTAGAAGAAAAAAGTAATGAATTATTTAGTAGCAATGGCTGTGCAACCTTTCTGTATCGAATAAATTACGCGAGAGAGTGAGTGCATACGATTTCTTTTTTTGGTTCGCATCGTGTATATGCAAGGATTAAATTTGTAAAAAAATACAAAATAACATCACTTAAAATAAATTGATAATAATTTGCTATTTTTTATTTCTTGCATGGGAATATAATCATAAAATCTGAATAGAAAATATTATTTATTTATATTAAATCTTAAATGGAAATAAGAAAAGCTGCAACTCCCTGTCCAGTTTAAACTAAAATACATAATCCCACAATTCCGAATTTTAGAGTTACATACATCCAACATAATCTAATAATAAATAATAAAAAAAAGAATCTTACGAAATTTACAAAAAGAAAGCATGTTTCTATAGACGCTATACGCAACAGCTAATAAGAACAAATTCAATCGGGTCTCAAATTAACAAATACAGTGTGTTTAGCTGTATCAAGATTCTCCAAACCTGTCAATGATAACTTTGTACGGATTTATGTACAATGAAGAGTTGCAGCATTTCAACTGGATTAAGCTACCCTTTTCTCTCTCCAGAGAAGTCCAGTCCGGTACCACCATAGGAGCAGCTCACCTTGTCTCCTCTATCCTCTCCAGAACTTCCACATTCACCTTCTTCATTTGGCCTTCAGTGTCCTTCACAAACTCACTTGAACCAGCCTGGACACCACTCTCCCAGGTTTTATCAGAATCGTCATTGGCAAAATGGGAGTGTGTGGAACTGGAAACAATAGGGATTCTTTGAACTTGAGACGGTGTAAGAGATTCATCATCTGAAGAGTCGGACCCAGGATAAATTTCTAGTTCTGTCACATCAGATGGATTTCCTCGAGATTTTCTTGACCCTTTACGAGAAAGTACATGCTTTATGGTACGAGCAGACTTCTCAGCATGTTTTAAGATACCCTTCGCCATGTCTTTGACATTTCCCTTTCCTGGGCTTTCTGGACCACTTCCCTCAGGACTCGAATTAACTTCCTTCAGATTCTTATTCATTGTGGTCCCAGAAAGTCTGTCTTCCACTATGAAATTCACACCAATCTCCTTCTGATTAACTGCTTTAATGTTTGCATAAGGGGATTTAACAGTCTCCCCACTACTGCCCAAACTATCCTCATTTTTGGGACTTCTATGAAACACCGAGCTAATCTTGCGTAAACCCTGCCGGACTTTGTTCATTCGATTTTTACCCTCAGCATTTTCATCAGCACTGCTACTGTCGTTGTTAAAGGACCCAGGACCTGTTGAATGAGTGTCACCAACTGAATCATCATGAACTCCCTGGGTTTGATTATCAAGGTTCCCACTCTTGCTTTTTCTGGGTTCCCATTTTTGTGACACTTCACTTCCTGGTTGATGGACCCAGATGCCAGTCCCTTGTTGCCCTTCAACATTGATAGGCTCAAAATTATCCACACTGTGAAATTTGTCTGATGTGGATGATGGAAAGGAAGTTCTATTTCCAATCTCACTTACAAAGGAATCTTGTATTTCTTCCTTACTCAACGTTTCTCCATTGAAAATATTCGTAACCCCCTGAACAAATTCATTACAGGTACCATTTGGATAGCCCATTAGACAAGTGCAGGATGTTTTAATTTAACATTTGAAACCCTCATATTTCATTTGTTGTTTGCTAGAATTTTGCAGAAATTACCTTCATATTTTCTTCAAGAACAGTTATTGCAAGATGCAGTCTTCCCATTTTAATGTTTTGGAGAGGCAACCACATGTCATGTCTCTCACCATCTCTGAGATCATTGATACTAATGGTACAATGCCTGTATGTAATAGCAGATCATGATATGACAGAAAATTATGATATAACAGGAAAATATAAATAGGCAATGATGAGAAGTAAAAAGACAAACCCAAGAGAATCATCAACAAAATGATCCTTGTCACGAACTTCAATAGCTAGCACATTAGCGGACTCCCATGTGGAAATGGGGATCTTGAATTCCTCATGCCATTTTGGGGCCAAAGTTTTTCTTTGTATTTTTGTCCTGAACTTGTAAGGTCCGAGTTGTCCTTTCACGTATGGATCAGCCAATCCTGAAAAATAGAATCAAACTAACCATCAGCATTACTTGGGGGGGAAAAGGAGGAGATGAAAAGACAACAGCTAAAAAGCTAACCATTTAAGTCGGATGGTTTCACGTCAGATGCTTCCACAACTTCAACTATGGCATAAGCAATGGGTTCCTTCTCATCCACAGAGAACCAACTTTCTGACAAGCAAACAATCACTAACAAAGGTAACCATCCAGCTTGCATGTAACACAACACAGTTAAGCTTGCCACATAACAGTAACTTCTAGAATAGCTAATAGAAGGTATTAGCAAACATCAAAACCATCATTAGTCTTTCTATAACAGAATGATAATTCATATCAATTAAACTTTGCTCAGTCGCATGGAGAGCCCGATTCATGTAATCCAAATGAATCATCAAATGCTCAAACCAAAACGCTATTTTTATAAAATTCTTGTTTGCACTTTTTAAAAATTAGTAATCCATTGATGAGAAAAGACTTTACATGAAAGCCTTCATATAAACCTCCGATATTACATATGACCTCCTAAATAGATCAAACAAGCAAAATACCTAACCCTACCAAGAGAAAGCACGTAACGAGGATATGTTTGGCAGACATCCTAATCACGTGTAATAGCAATCATACGCCAACTTCAAACGACTGCATAAAGCTTTCCAAAATTGTTCCCGTTTGATAAGAAAATAATGCTGCTGCAGGCTGCAGTGCACTTAATAATCTTTTTTTATCCATTTTCTGAATGAATTTTGCCCTTTTCCTCTTACTTTTAAGCCTTTCAAAACTTGATGAACAATTTGCAATTAGAGCAAATAAATCAAATGAACCACCAAGTAAAAAAGTAAAATTAGGAAAGTTTCATGCATTTAGCAGAAATATTTAACCTTGCAATCCACAGTAAAGTAAATCATAATTTTGTATCGCGTGTTGTCATCCTCAAGTTCACTCAACATTGTATGACTTGTTGAGAAATGGTAGAGCCTATTATTCTCAAAAAATAGCATATATGCACTCACACAAAATAGGTTCTGGTATTTACAGCTTCAAAATGGGCTACAATTTCATTGATTTCTTTTATAGATCTAATTACAAGATAGAAAGTATAAAAGGGATGACAGTGTTGCCTGACCATGCTTGGCATTACCCCATAACTAAATCATGGGTAGTTTACTTGAATACTCAAACTCAACCGCTACCTGCCACCTAACCCAAATGCTTGCTGGAACAACAAGCTTACAGCCAAAAAAAAAAAAAAAATCCCATTCAAAAGTCAAACTAGCTAAATAATACCTAAGTAAATTTTCAACTTTCAATACTTGAGGAATTTCTTTGATGCTCCAAGCATTCCATTATAAATTCAAATCTTTCCTTAGATAAGACTTGGTTAGAATGTTAGCAGCTTGACCCTTAGACCTGCAATGCTCAAGCTTGATTTCCAAATTTTAATCTATCATTGATAACTCTTCCATCAAACCTTGCTGCCAAACTCTGATTCTTGAAGTTTCTTGAAGCTTCTTCATAATTTTTGGATTCAAATAAATCAGAATTATAGCTTTCTAGCAAGAATTTGGTCTCAACTTGTGAATGAAGACGGAAATTATTTTTCGGACCAGGAACAGCAACTGAACCTTTCCTTGAATTTATGCAACCACGAGACCTAAATATGTATCTTCGTAACTTAATTTCAATTTCTTCTTTACTTGACTCCATTTTCATCATTCACAACATTCTCTGTCTTCCATATCATTAACACTTTGATTGGTAGAATCAAAGTTAAAAAGGAAAGCTCTTGGAAACCATCTTGACACAAGCTGTCACACACTAAGTTGGACCACAAATAGTGCAATATCTATTCGTAAAAACCAGAGAACATATTTCTAACATTTGAGCTACACTCAACAAATTTTGATCTAGACAAGGCATAAATAAGACCATGGATAAGTTTTAATACTTTTTCTTAGTCTTAACAACAATAGAACCATTTCCATGAGCTTTAACCACATCTCCATTAGCTAGCTTCGGGCTTGTCTTGTCACTTCTATATCTAGAGTATGAAATGTGACCATGCAACCAGTACTAGTAAACCGAACTTGCTTTCCTAATGGTTGGAGTGGCTGAGAGATCCGAACAATTACCAATGAAGGTGACCTGCTGAGTAATGGGCTGCTCTTGATATTGTTTAAACTTGCAAATTTAGAAATTTGACCATATCTAGTGTGAATTTATCCAATGTCTATCTTTTTTACTCTCTTTTCTATTTCTCTCTGGAAGGACTCGTCTGTTAGGCATCTTCTGTACTCTTGTGCTTGCATTGTATGTGCTACCTGTGGTAAAGTGAGCTGGTTCAAGTCTTTAGAATGCTCTAAAGATGAGATTTTTGCTGTTAAAAATCCACTGGGCCTACACACACATAGGCTTATAAGTGAGTAAGTATTGGTTTGACTTGCACAAAAACAGTTGGCTTATGTCGAGTCCACCGCATATTCAATTATAAGTGCTTTAGTTATTTTATTATTATTTAATGTTGGATTCATCTCCTAATACACCTATCAAGTGCAATCATGTTGGACTTAAATTGACCAAACATTAACAAGCCGGTAGACGCTAGCTAGGACATAAACTGGTTGGCTTATCTCCAATATTGTCCTGCTGGGCTTGAACATAATCCCAAGGTTTAGCTTATTTGGGCATGAGACTCTAATAATGCAGCAACAAATTGATTGCAAAGTAATTAGCCTAATGACCAAGTGACTGATGAAAAGTGAAGATGAAAATAGTTCATGATCAATTTTTGCTGAAAAATAAAACCGGAAATTAATACTCATCATTGTGGATTGAAAATGAAACTGAAAAATGCACATAGTATGAAAAATGCTAATACCAGCGTCTGAAAATAATTTCAAGCCACTATTAATAGCTGAAACCTGAGTTCTAAAAATACGATTTTAGAAAAACAAATAGATGATCACTCAACTTGGAGGAACACTATATTCAATATGCAGCATCAATCTCCTAACATTGAAAAATAAGGAGTCAACTTCTCTATTCAAGGCATTGTAATAGTAGAGCATTCAATGACGAAAATAATCCACAAATCATGAACTCATAATAAAGTCCTATTAACAATACCTGTTAAATCACCTGGTTGTGTTGAAGCAAATTTCTCTACATCCACAACAAGCATATTGGGCTACAAGCACGGCAAGAATTACATGTGTCAATTTTCAAAAAAATATGAAGCAAACTGTCATCGCCGGCTAAGGAATTATGAAGGAACTATGAAGAGACTAGCACAGAAAACTCATGAGGTTTAAACTAATACATAGTTTGGTCCTCATTTTCAAATCAAACAATTCGGTCCAATATTATAAAACTCAGCACTTTGGTTTTTATTAGCAAAATAAGTCCAAAACAATGTAGTTTTGGTTGAAAAGGAACAAAAAAAAATAAAAAATGTAGCCTGTATGACAACTAAAGCATTCAATTTAATAGAACACAAGAACTGAAGTGTTTGGTAAAATAGGAGACACAAATATGCATTAAGCCAAAATTTGTGTATTCGTGCAGTTGTCCAGATCTTTTAAGGAAAAAACAAGGTTCAGAATCAATTTGATAGTCATCACAGTTAAAGCACCTTTACCTGAACAAGTGTCTGCTCAAAAGCAACTGACAAAAGCTTATCCTAAAAATGAGAAAGACAGCATGTAAGATTTGGATAGAGTTAATGAGTTGGTAAAGGATTTGAGTGTGCGCCCATTTATGAGGATGCTTGGTTAGGCTTAGAAGAAAATCAAACCTACTTTTAAGTAGAATAGCGTTTAGTTTGGCTTACAAGAAGTTAAAAGAAAAAAAAAAAAAAAAAAAAAAGAGTTAATGAGTTGGTAAACGGATTTGAGTGTCGCGCCCATTTATGAGGATGCCTTGGTTAGGCTTTAGAAAGAAAATCAAACCTACTTTTAAGTAGAATAGCGTTTAGTTTGGCTCAGAAAGTTAAAAGAAAAAAAACAAAAAAAAAAAAACTTAACATAAGTTCATAAAAGAAAAAAAAAAAAAAAAAAACTTAAAATAAGTCAAAAGCCATAAGTAAGCTACTTCTTGTTTTTGAATATCTACTTATTTTAACATCACTCTTTGACCAAGTAAAAAATATATATATTATCTTAATAGTTTTTAAAATACAAACATCATCTCATTTTGGAAAACCCTAAGACTTCCTATTCAATTAATATACGCGGATTTGTTATTTAAACAAATTAAGTTACTTTAAGTACTTGTTAACCAAACAATTAAACTAAAAGAAACTTTTAAATAGTTTGGCCAACCACTTAACTACTTATTTTTAGATTGACTTCTAGGTCTAAAAATATATTTTAAAATCAGAAGTTAAAAATAAGTAGCCAAATCAAACATCCTCTATATTTACGAGACCATGAGAGAGAGGGGGATGAAACATTAATAAATCTTTCTGATAAATTGCCCAAATATGACTTACTAGCCATCCAGCAATCCCAGGAAGTTCAGTGACATCAAGCCCATGAGTGAAAATAGGTTTGACAGTCATTTGAAAATAAGGTGGCTCAGCAAAGCATACCCTCAGACGACCAAGGAAAGGCCAATGGCGAAGGAACCTCACTCCAATCAAGACCTAACAAAGATGGCAATCAACTAAATTGAAAATAATACTAATCAGATTGCAAGTAACATTATTGAAACGGCAATTCAAGAGATGGTTATTAAAAATGGGTGGACCAAGAGATGTCACATTCTAGGATAGTAAGTTCATCAATAATTCCAAGAATTAAAAAATAATGAAAACATCTTAGGTTTCATGTAAGACACAAAAGATCCAAAGTTCCACAAGTTCCATCCGATTTTTTGTATGCAATTTGCTAGAGTTAAGAGCTCTATTACCATGGAACAACTCCTCAACAATACTAACGACCATATTTGTCTCATATGGAATTTGTAATGCAATCTTGAAATAGAATTCCATTACTTCATTTGGTCCATGTGGAACCCAAAACAGTTTTGGTATTTTTATGCGTAAAAACTTTAACTTATATTGAAATGATACATGTGTACGTAAATTCTTGCAACAAACTCCATTTAATTATTTTAAAAAAAATAAATTTGGAATATGATTCTTTGAATTTAGACATTCATATCCATTCCCATTCCATTTCAAAGGTGAATGAACCAAGCAAATGGTCAATGTAATAAAAAAAAAAATTCATATGAGGATGGCATGTTGCAAACTTTCCAAAGCAAATATTCAGAAGTTCAAACATCCTAAAGTTAGCATAGAAAAAGATAAACAAAAATAGAGACACCAAATATTAGGTAAAGCTATATAACCAAAGAATGTTTTTAAGTTCTAATGGAAATTCGAAAAAGAAAAAGGCATATCAATATGAGTCACGTCAAGTCATGCTTGACGAATAACTCATTCAATTTTTATGTACTCATGAAAAAGAGATTATAGTCATTTGTCAATAACTATCAAAAAAATAATAATAAAACAAGAGTCTGAAAATGCAGAAATTATAATTGAAGATGGCAGATTACAAAATTTCCAAAGCAAAACCTTAGAAAAGGAGATACACAAGAAAAGCAAAAGAAAAGTATATTTTTCTATTTAACATTGTCATGTTGTACAGATAAAATTAATGTTTTTTATATGACGTTGTGAAGTTCAGTTTGGCTTAAGAAGGGAGGAAAGGTTAGATTTGACAGTGCAATGGTGCTTAAGTGCAGTCAATTCAATAGGCTTTATGTTCAAAAGAGAGGTCCAATAGATGAATATGTTATTCATAGAATACATATAGGGTGTATGAATGGAAGAGTGCTATAGGTGTGCTATGTGAGAGGAAGATATAAGGTGAAAGGTAAGTTTCAGAGGATGGCGGTGAGACCGTTAATGTTATATGGGAGTGAATGTTGCGCACCAAAATCCCAACTTGTTCATAAGATGAATGTTGTAGAAATGCGGACGTTGAGATAGATATGTGGTCATACAAGATTGAACAAGATCAGGAATGATCACATTAGACAAAAAGTGCAATCATGTGTTACCTAGACCCCTATGTGTCTCAGTTCTTAAGTTTGATACTTTGGTAGGTGGAGATTGCTAAATGGGAAAGAGGTAGACCTAAAACTATATAGAGGGATGCTATCTCAAAGGATCTATGATATATGAATATTAGTGAGGATTTAGCTATAAACAATACAAAATGGAGCAAAAAATCCATACAGCAAACCCTAACTAGTTTAAGGCTTAGTTGTTATTAGTCTTATGTTTTGTTTATTTACTAATATAATAAATTATTTTTTAAAAAATTCTTTTCCAAAATATTTTTCACAAAAATATTTTTCCTATTTTATATTTTACTTTAAGTGCTTAATTGAACAAAGAATTCATATATCCAACCTTAACTAGTTTGAGATTAAAGCTTAGTACTAGTAGTTGTTATTATTGTGAAGTTCAATTTGTAAGAGAGAAAATTTTGCAATTGCTTAATTTCTATTGAAACCAACTAGAACCCTATACTATTGGGTTAATAAAAGAGGGGAATAGGAGTCGAGTGAGAAAAACCAAGGTGGCTAAAGCCATTTTAGCATAGGATAATCTCATTAATTGTAAAGGACTAATTAGTATTAATTTCAAAATTGATGTTGTGATGTTGTAAATTGGAGAACTCTCCCCAAGCCCAATGACAAAAAGTAATGGTATCAAAGTCCAATGCCCTAGCAAGCCAAAAAGATCTTATACCACATTTTAGGCCAAATCCTAGCCCACACCTAGGTTAAGAAAAGGTTGGTTCATGGTAAGCGACAAGATTTATTAAAGGACCATAAACTTGTTAAGCGTCTGTGACATAGGGGAAGAACTTAGGGCAAATTAACTCTCAACAATTAGGCTAGAATAGGATGATTTTGGTTGGAACAAAATAATATATCGATTTCAAAGAAACCCTTAAAATTAAAATTCTGAATTCATAGATAAAAAACAACCCCTAAAACTAATTGTTGCTATCCTATTTATATTAGTTAGGACAAATCCTAATTCTATACTGAAAAATATTCCTAATTAGCTAACCTAGACTGAATAGTATTCCTAGTTAGCTAAATCCTAAATAAAGAAGGAAAACTGAAATTATTTCCTGATTAATTAACATTCTTTAATTTAATTAAGAATCCTAAATAAAGAAGGTTAATTAAGAATCCTAAATAAAGAAGGAAATTAAAAGAGAATTTCTTAATTAGTCTTCAATGCTCCTGCATCATTCTCCTCGAGTTTGAAAAGAACTCAGCTTCGACGACAAAAGCTTAGTTCAGCCATGAGAATAGGATCAATTTGTGTAAACTTCTCCTTAGAATACCACGTGCTTAAGGCTTTTGCAAGGCAACCAACATCACAAGCCATTCAAATAATCCATCATTTTTCTAAGCAAGCAAAGTTGGTTCAACAAAAAGAATTTTTCGTGTTTGCACTAGCCTTCTTGCTTGAAGATGTATTTCAACTTCACGGGCTACTTGCTTCAAACAATCTGCTTTTGGCAGTTTTACGCTATCAACATCCACGAGCAAATACTTTTGTGAAGAATAACAATCTTCCCGAAGAATAACAATCTTCCTTTGTTTTCCCACCTTCAATATTCCAAATCTTTTTGCTTCTTCTATTTTAGGCGGTAAAGGAACCTGCTGAATGGCAAGTATTTTCTCCTTAGGTAGAAACTAGGTCAATTTCTTGCTCTTGTTTCACATCATACTCATTCATAGATTTGGCTTCCATAGGTCCTGTTGCTCCCTTCGTGTTTTTCATCATTTCAAAGATATTGAAACTTCTTTCTTCCTTTTCACTCTTCCATCACGGGTCATAACATCTATCCAATTTGTTTTATTCCCCAATCTAAATAAATTGGCTGCATTGTAAACTCTCCATGAAGATGCAGCTACTTTCAATCTTCATTCACTTTCTTCACCATTCAAAATCAAGGGCATGTAGTTTCCACTTCGGTCGCTCGATTTGCGGGCCAAGCTTCCATGAAAAGGTTTACGTCCTTGGCTTCGTCAATCTCAAGATTCCTCTTGAAACCTTTGAGTTGTTTGTGTTGCCTTCCAGAATCTCCATTCGGGCTTCACGGGTTCCTGACAATGCAAGGCTTGTACAGCCGCGGGTCAAATTCTCAATCATTTGCCATATCTCAGCCATCTCTATTTGTTGGGACTGATACCTCTACTTAGATCTCTCCCTTTACCGAAACATTGGTTCTGAGACACCCACATCATGAAGATCAGCTACTTCAATCTTCATCTCTTCACCATTCAAATCAAGGGCATGTAGTCCACTTCGTGTCGCTCGATTTGCGGGTCCAGCTTCATGAAAAGGGTTTACGTCCTTGGCTTCGTCAATCTCAAGATCCTCTTGAACCTTGAGTTGTTTGTGGTTGCCTTCCAGAATCTCCATTCGGGCTTTCACGGGTTCCTGACAATGCAAGGCTTGTACAGCCCGGGTCAAATTCTCAATCATTTGCCATATCTCAGCCATCTCTATTTGTTGGGACTGATTACCTCTACTTAGATCTCTCCCTTTACCAAACATGGTTTAGAACAGAACAGAAAAGGGGGGAAAATACTGTAGCAGTTCAGGATCTTTTTTGCGGTCTGACACCACTTGACGCAGGGGCAGAATTTAGGGCAAATTAACTCTCAACAATTAGGCTAGAATATGATGATTTTGGTTGGAACAAAATAACATATCGATTTCAAAGAAACCCTTAGAATTAAAATTCTGAATTCATAGATAAAAAACAATCCCTAAAATCAATTGCTGCTGTCCTATTTATATTAGAAAGGACAAATTCTAATTCTATACTGAAAAATATTCCAAATTAGCTAACCTAAAATGAATAGCATTCCTATTTAGCTAAATCCTAAATAAAGAAGCAAACCAAAAGAAAATTTCTTAATTCATCTTGGGTGCTCCTGCACTAGTCTGTCCTGAGCACGTGTCAACCACTAGAAAGTATTGCACTTCAATGGAAGTGTTGAAAACAAAAGGAAAAATTTTCATATTGATAGTTAAGAAAAGTAAGAGGGGAATAGGCTCAATTATTTGTAAGTTTAAAATTTGTTATTATGATGTTATAATTAGTCCATGTTGCATTTTATTAACATATATAACAATCATGGAATTAGTAAATTTCAGTTCCATACCTTCCCTTCAACATGCATAGCTGTCATATGCAACTTTGCCCACATTCCAAATCCCAGCCTTCTCCTTAATTTGACAGCAAGTACTGCACTCATATCATCCGCTGTGCAAAAATTCATCCCCAACTCCAGTGCCTGCATTTTTTCACATTCAAACTCTACCTTGAAAAGCAAACAGATTGTCTAGACAAAATTTACAATAAGAGAGAGATCCACATGGTTGATAATAATACCAAGTGGTCATCACTGGCGCATTGGCCAAGAACCCTCATTTCTGTGAAAATTGGTGGATTTCTTCCTAAATACATGTGTTGAACCACAGCCTTTTTCTGCACATTCAGCACAAGCAATCCATAAATTGAATTAGAAAAGTTAGTGAGAGAACTTAAATTTCCAAGGGATTTAATTTAACGCACGGCAGGTCAACAAGCCAGAAGATTAGCGAAATGATATTCAAAACAAGTAATCCTCTGTTCTCAAGTTGTTTCGACACAAAATAGATGATATAAGAAGCAGAAATCTCAATGGGGAAAATTGACTTTGCATCAACGCTAAAAGGTTGGCTTTTAAATACCATAAGGGCATCTTTGCTACTTGGACTTGGGAATGAATATTGAATATGGAGGTCAGAGTCAGCAGGTATTGTTCAAAATATTTATTGATCTGCAACCTAATGTGAAGGACAATTTTTCAGTTTTTGTAAAGGATAAGTTAGTGAGTCAAAGTATCATATCCATGTCTCAGTACTCTAATATGACATTTAAACGAAGAGGAAAGAGCATATATTAAAATTAAAAATAAATAAATAAGAGAGAGGAAAGAAAGATTCATACAGCGGTCCAGGGCTTATACTTGTCCAAGAACCAAGGAATTATGGGAAGAAGAATCTTCTGCGATACAATCTGCTCCAAACATATGGGCCATATCTTTTCCACGGCATGATTCAACCAGCGAACAGTTTCAGAATCAGAGAGCATCTGAAGAGAAAAAAGAAAAAGAAAAAGAAATTAAAAAGCATATACTCCTTTTTGAACCCAAACTTAATTGAGAAAGAAAATTACTCTTTTCTGATTGGCTTGCTTTCTTTCATGGAACTGCAATTTCCTCTTCAATCTCATAACATATCTTTCATGGACCTTTAAAAAGAGAAATCAACAAAAAAATTTAAAGAAAAAAAAAAAAACAAGAATCAAGAAATTCAAAGAATTGAGTGATTACATACCGCGAAAAGATATATCAAAGAAATGAAGTAAGCGACTGGATGGCATTGATTGAAGAGAGAAAGCAACCACAGCAAAAGCAGTACAATTCCCACATGATGTATTATCGATACCTCTGTTATATCCATCTCTCTCAGTTAGCTCCAACCCAGTAATCACTAGACTCTATTTTCTGTCTCCTGGCCTTCGCACTTCTCAACTTGCCGATCATCTCTTGAGATCAAACCTTCCAGTCAAGCAAGCAGACAGTTCCATTATTATTATTATTATTATTATTATTATCCAGCCAAAAACGATGACGTAAGAGCAAAGCAACGAGGCAAGAGAAGAAAATGTACCGTCAGATCGGTAATTAGATTTGGATTTTTATATAAACTAGTGTTGAAAATTGTGCATTTTTACTCGTTGAACATATTAATTAAAATAATTATTTATAATTTATTTTTTATATATTTTTTATTAATTTTATTTATTTTTTTATATTATTTTTTATTAATTTTTATAAAGAAAATATTAAAAATTTAGTATTTTAAATTATAATTATATATTAAATTATAATTAGTATATATATAAAAATAGGTGTAAACTACTATCATACATATTTAGTATTTAATGAAAAATTTTAATAATTTTTTAAACTAGATTTTTTTGCAAAAAAAAAAAGTTACAAAGGTTGAACATAAATAATTATTTGATTTTAGATCTCGTCATATATAAAAATAAATACACATATAAGTTATTGATAATCAAATTCAAAAATTTTGTTGTTGTAGTATACCAAAAAAAAAAAAATCAAAAGTTAAAATTAGTACCTCAGCCATTAATAATAACAAGGTGAAAAGTTTTTGATATAGCAATAGTAAAAAAACTCTTAATAGTAGAGAGTTTTCAATGAATTATTAATAAATAAAAGCAAAAAAATCATTGTTGGTAGTCAAAGAAAATATAATTATTTGATAGATTAAATTTTCAATTGAGTTATAATTTAAATATTTTTTATTTATTATCATGATAATAGATATAATATTAAAATCAAACTATAATAAATTTTTAAATTAAAAATATGCAACAACTTAAAAAAAAAGAATTGTCAAATGTTAAAAAAATTACAATCATAATTTAAATAATTTTTTTAAAAAAATTTACAAATTTATACTAATTGAAAATTGATCAAAATTTATACTAATTGAAAATTGATCAAGAAATTTACTTATAATAATTAATACCATTCAAGAGAACGATAAAGTAAAAAGTAACTAACAATATTAATAAAACAAAAAAAAAGAAATACGAAGGAAAAAAATTCAATTTATAATTAATTAATTTAATTTTTTTAGATTTTTAATATAAAATAGTTAAGTGCTTTTGCAATAAAATTATAAATATAATTGATTTAATATTAGATTCAATCAAAACTTCTACAGATGGAGTTTCATTCTTAATTAAGATTGTATAGATTTTTTGATTACGATTTCTAATATATATTTGATTTAACATTAATAAAACATATATATATATATAATTTATTTAATTAGTTTATTATTATTAGGAATCTTATATATTTGATTAGTTTATTACATTTTGTCTTTAAATATTATTTAACATTACCTAACATTTTGCATGTATTAATTGTCTAAGAGAATACAAATTTCATTTAACTAATACAAACTATATTCACAAAAGTCAATAATATTTATTCCCTACTTTTTTTTTTTTTACCTAACGAATTTATTTATCCAAAAGTAAGTTATCTTTATTTTTTTAATCAATAAAATTAAAATTCTTAAAATTTTATATTCTTACTCATATATATCTTATATAATATGTAATACAATTTATTATTTTATCTAATAGAATTTATATTTAAATTGAAAATTTATATCCTTATTAATTATATTAGCTTTATTTTTCAACCAATAAAATTAAACCAATAAAATTTAAAATTCTTAGAGTTTTATTATTTTTACCACACATATATATATATAAATTTATTATTCTATTAGAATTTTTATATCTACATAGAATTGAAACTTTAATAATTAAAAATTAGCTTTATTTTTTCAAAACAATAAATTAAAATAATCTTTAATAATTTTCTATTTAGAATTAGATTAAACTTTCTATAGTTGCTAGAACATCCTTAATAAATATAAATAAAATTTATTCTATTAATTTATAAATAGGAAAAATTAAGATTATACTTACCGCAACAAGAAAACATGATTGCAAACTCAATATTTCCAAATTAGCAAAGCTTGATGTAATGATTTTTGATAGTTAAAAGCAACAAATTTGTGATAGTCAAGAGTAATAAATTCTTGATAGCTAAAACTCAAAAGCAATTACAACAAAACGTATATATAGTGATATGATAGGATAAAATTCTAATTAGAACAGTATTAAAAGGACAAATTACTAATTAGAGTGGAATTAAATTTATAATATTAATATAATAAAAATAATAAATTGAAATCATAATTAAAGTAGAATTAAAATCAAATTTCTAATTAGAATAACATTAAATTTATAGTATTAATAAAAAAGAGCCACCAATATAATAAATTTAATATCTTATATTATATTATAGTATGTTTAAATTATAAGATATTAAATCATAGTAATTTTACATGTATAGGAACTCCAAAAGTTTCCTAATTAGAATAGGAATAAATTATTTTTAACGATATTTTTAATTAATCAACTAAAAATATCAATAAAATTAAGAATTTTCTAATAAGAATAAGACTAAAATTTTCTTCAATTAACCAATAAAATTAAAAAGTGTACACAGGCATTTTAGGAATTCAATGTTCCTCTCATTCCCCCTCTTAGGGAAATTCAATGTTCCTCTCATTCCCTCCTCATTCCACACTTATAATATATATATATATATATATATATATATATATTATATTATATATTATATATACTATTATATTATATATAAGATTTGAAATTTTCTATTAACATGAAAAAAAATTTATTAATTTATATTTATTATATTAAATTTGAATATTAAAATTTTCATGGCCATCTTATTTCCATCAAAATACTTGAAATTAAAAAAAATAAAAAATAAAAGATATTATCTTGACAAATATTAATCTTGTAATCCAAATAAAATTTAAATTTTTATTAATAAAATATAAAATAAAAGAAAGGAAGAAAAGAGAAATGAAAATGCAACCATACCAAAAGATGTGGCGGAGAAGATATGCAGTAACAGCTTCTGAATTTTGGTTACAACTTTAGAAACGGGATAAATATTTCGTTGCTAATCCGTTATTTGACCTCTTCAACAGAATAAAAAAAATCTATTTGTGTCATCGTTTTAGAAACGGAAAATTATTCCGTTTCTAACATGTTTGTAGAACCCTTTGTCAACTCTTAGCAACAGAAAAATAATGAAACAAGATTTGCTAGTTAATAAAAATAATATGATTAAGAAAACTAATATAATCAATCTAATTAAAATTATTATATAATCTTAATCGATAAATAAAATTAAAATTTTTCTAATTAGAAGGTCTCTCTCTTTAAGATTTCATGATAATACTATTGAAACACCCCGTAATTTTATTTTCAGAACTTTTGAATTTCTATTAAATCAGAAATCTCAATTTTCGACTGTATAGGCTATAAATGCCAAACAATTTTAATCCGAGTCCAAATTTGTTAATTGGTCGCAAACCCAAAGCATATTATCACAACTCAAATCGAGAATTTTCTAAACTACTCAAAGATTATTATTGGACGTTAAATAGTAAATTAATTAGTAAAAATATATATGTATGCCTACTATTTAAATTAATTATTCTAAACTTAATTATTATTATTATTATTATTATTAATTTCTAAACTTTAATTATTTATTATTATTTATCTTATTATTATTTATTTTATTATTATTTTGAGTATTATTATTATTGAGTAAATTGAAGAAATATTCTAGAATCTAAGTTACACCGATTAAAATAAATCAAACAAGTAGAATAGGTTGAGAAATCTAGAATTTTCTATTGAATCGGACCAAATCCGAATTGGACCAAACCAAGCCTTATTATCCAATCAAATGAGGAGAGAGAAAGAAAAAAAATTTCATCTCCCTCCCCTTTCCCGACGTCGACAGCCCCTCTCTCTTTCCTTCCCGTTTTCCGGCCAAACGACCATCGTTTACGGTGAGTGAGGACTCTAAGCTCAAGAGCTCGACGAGACAATCACTCCGGTGGCCTTGGTTCGTGTGATGAGGGCCTGAATCGAGAGAGATCACGATTGGAAGGTCGTGTCACCGTGTGATGGAGTTTTCCAGCAAAACCTCACCGTTTCGTCGACTTCAAGTGCTGGGGATGGTCTCGATCGACTCCTCTCCTCCACACGAACATTTCCCCTTCATTGATTCGTGATTTCACTGGATTTTTGGGGAGCAACCATGAATGACCAGCACAGTGCCTGTCGGAGCTGTTTTCAGCAAATTGACGCAGTGACTCCACAAATTGACATCATATTTGTGTTCCCTATAAATTTCGAGCCAAGGGATGTGAAAATCACTCAATTTTGACATAGCCCTATTTTCCGGCCCTGTGCACGCCAGCGGCCGACAGTCAATGACCAGTCGGCGATGCTCCGGCAAGGGCCTAAGAGGCAGAATCACCTTCTCCTTGCGCAGATCGTGGAATTGTAGTCCAATTTTCAATTGGTATGCTCTAAGACCTAATTCCTCATTTTAGGTATAAATTCCAAAACTTGAATTAATTATTTGATTAAATGTAAAATTAATCGAATTAGTCAAAATTGAAATTTTATAAATTTAACTACACATAGTTGAGATATATGAGCATCCTATAAGGAATCAGACTTCAATGTGGTTAATGGACAATAAAGACTTCCACAGAAAATAGAAATGCTTAAATTTCAAGCTATTAATCACATTAATACATGAATGTTGTTTAAATATTGAGTTAGAATACCTTATACAAGTGATCATGGTTAAGTAAATTGTGAAAGGAAATTAACAATTAAAATGCATTGGTGTTATAAATCACTTATATTGTAATGTGTGAATACAAGGACAATCCAATATATAGAGAGAATACTGTCGGATTTTCGAAATAGAGAATTGTTAAAGAACTAGACTAGTTATATTATTAAATGGAAATAACTCTTAAAATTGTTAGTATAACTAATACCATCGATTAATGTTATTTTCATTTCTAATGTTGCTAATATTATTAATATTATCATTATTATAAAACATTAAA